AGAAGGGTCTCACGCTTCACGTACCTTCGTTGGACCAGGGGGTGCGTGTGTCTGGGGTGTCGCCCTCCGAGTGGCGGTGGTGGATCCCGCTTTGCTCGTCTGCGCCAGCGGTCTGAGGCGGTCCCCGTGTGGAGGTGACGATCCTGGACCGCGAGGAGCGCGGTCGATGCGCGACATCGAGGACAAGGGGAAGGGCTGTGGGCGATGCGACGGCATTGTCCGAGACCGCAGCACTACATTCGTCGCGCTGAATCGGGTTGAATAGTATGTGGTGGCACCTGAGAGGGGGGAAGAAGCCGCGCGCGCCATGATTGAGGGCGTGAGTTAAGGCAGAACTTCAGCGCTCAGTTCGCGCGACTTGCCTCCTACCGCCAACCTACCGCTGTAATGTCGACCGCCTCGTCCTTCGAAATCTGGGGCTTTGTTTCATGCGCGATATGTCATCTACCCTGCTCCTTCGAAAGGCTCGGTCCACCATCCGTCCCGTTCTGGCTCACCGACTGCGGGCACGTAATCTGCAACAAGCACATGCGTATGGCAATATCTTGCCTACTATCATCATGGCTCTCTGAAAGCTGTAGGCAGAGGCGGATAAGTCATGCATGATGTGTGGTGCTGCAGATATAGACGTGTTACCGCTGCAACGAGAGGTGCGCCTGTGTTGAATGTGCTTGTCTGCACTGTCTGACCACACACTTTAAGATGGATCCGCTCATGGCGGGCTGGTTTCGCGCAACGTCCAACGCGTTAGACTCATTGGCGCAAACGGCAAAGGTACTCGGATGGATTTCGTCATCGACCTACTCGATGCTGACGGTGTAATCCATGTAGTTTCAATGGGAAACGCTAGCAAAACTCGTACAAGATTACAAGGGAAAGAGTGTAGAGTTTCAACATGTGATAGAGCGCACTAAGGCGGAATACAGACAGGTGGACGAACAGAAGAAGTATGTACAAGCTCTACTTCATCAAGCGATTTATCAATGTTACTGTCTTCTAGGATAATCGACGACCTACGAGTCGAGAACGAGCAACTACGACAAACTATGGACTGCGACCCTGCCGACCTTGTCGCATTTCACGACTTCAAGGGACAGCGACGTATAACGTACGCATACCAGTCTGTATCACGATATTCATAGTCCACGTATTAACCCAATGACCGTATATGTCTGCAGGACGGCAGGTACCTCAGGAGCGAGGGCTCGTTCAAGCCCGCAATTTGACGCGATCCCGGCCAAACTCGATCCATTCGCATCTTTTCCTGGGAGATCACACCCCGTCTTCCCGTCTCGAATGGTGCAACGTGACGGATATGTGCATGAGAGACTGGGTTCAAGCCTCTTTTGCCGGTGGGTCATTCCGCTTTTTGAAATCTACTGCCCTCTTAAGAGTTTCGCAGGCCACATGCGTACAACTCTGGTCTACATGCACGACCGCTCGCACGAAATAATGGAACTGGCCAGCAGCGACAGAAGAGACGCTCGATAAAACCACTCCCCCCCCCTCCATCGCCACAGCGCAAGACCGTCCAGCATTCGATGCCGTCTCTCCCCGATGCACTTGAACCGTGGACTCGCTCGCTCACCTGCCGTTCGACTGATACCATCCTTACACCACAAGTGTCCGCGAAACCATATCGTCCTTTCCGGTTTTATCCCACCGCTTCTCCCGCTGCGCTCGCGCAATCCGCGTCATCTTCACGTCATGTCCCACTTCGGCAGCATGGGTATCTGAGTACGTCCACCAAAGCTACCCCTCACGGGACGGGCGTACACCACGCGCCGCATGGGGGCGAGACGTCGCAGATTTTTCGAGGAAGCATGCGACAGATACCTTCACAACGTTTAGGTCGCTTTAATCCCGCCACCAATACGGCGCTCGCCCAGTGCGGCACATTATTCGGGGAATGTTCCGCGAGTCAGCACACCACAACGCAGCGCGCACCGTTCGCACCTGCTTCTCGATTTGGATGACCATGGACTCTTATGCAATTGTCTCTGGCTGGCTAAGAACCCTCGCCATCACCACTATCAATGTCTCGTAAACGCATCTCGTTTCTCTGTTTCTAGCCTTGCGCCTACCAGCCATAAGGAAACTTTCACTCCTCCACACCGACAATGTCATGTAACTCTAGCATACACTCCGACGTTCTACAATTGATGTTTGGGCTCCGAACACCTTCAGAGCTTTCGTGGCTGTGCCATACTCATCGTACGAGGGCTGTGCACGTTGACGCACCAAGCGCAGTCTATGGATCGGTCTGCGCTCCGCACACCACTCTTCCCTTCTTCAGCGGCACGCGCGCCAGAATGCCAAATTCTGCGCGCGACCGAGTCGCATGAACTCAATTCTCTGTTATCAACATACACCATGAGCATAAGCAGATTGTGTACCCAGTAAGAGCCCGCATCTCCTCATCGGTTGCGAATTCGCCAGTCCATCCACGTGCATACATCCTACGCATTCCTTCGGGAACTCGTGACAGCGCCCAAGGTTACATTGAGTTGATTAAACAGTATAACGATAGGTGCTTCGTGCTTACAGACGGTCGATGTACCGCCCCGCCTAATACCCGACCCCCCAACCCCGATTGACGGCCTTTGCCGCCCCGCGCGTACTTCTATCAACATTGCCAGAGCGAGTTGAGGGTCTCGGTAGCTTCTGACTGACTGTTCTAAGGTAGGGCGCGTATGGTAGAGACCGTCTTCAGGATGACTATGAGGGGCAACCTTACGATTGATGCTCACATCCAGTCGCGTTAGAACCCCGCGGTCCGACCGAGGTCACTCCGACCAGCCCGTCCGACACTCATGGACGTTGCCAGTCTCGTACCGACGCCGGCTTCGACATCTAGGCTGGGAATAGACCTGGATGGTTGCATCCGAGTGAGAGAAGTATATCACCCTGCGAAATCGAGTACTTGCCCGCAGTACCACCATGTCGATGTCCCGTGCGACATCGTAATGTCATGTCGGCCTGTCTATCAATTGCAGCCTCTGACGGCCTGTACATTCTGCGCACCGCAGCTTAACTCTCACCGACAGGCAATCACTCATCGCCATATTCCCGGTGGGTAGCTGTCCCACGTGGTCTCCGTAGTGTAGACCGAGTCCGCGTGTACGTAGCACTTCATCCAAGATGACCACAATCCCGCGGCACTGCGATACAGCCCGGGTCACAGCATCCTGGTGCACTGGCCTTCATGTAGGCGAGACTTGACTGCGTTCAGCCAAGCTCTGCATGCTACCACATGCTGCTCGAGTCATATCGGTAACAGCGGGTGTATCGGTCATAGATATGCGGGTGAGCGAGGTACCGTGCTGACGATGGCAGGCTAGTATCAGCTTCGAGAGTTTCAGCTCGTCCGACTCCAGTTGTCCAGTACAAACCAGCCGTTACTTTACAATGAACCAACAGCATGTTGGCTTTGAGCACTCGTCGCGCATGGCTACCGCTTTCCTTATCGAGCGTAGACATCCTGAGACTGGGAACAGCCACACATTCTTTGCGGGTCCGCCAAGGCACGCGGACGGTTAGAGTACTAGTATGCCCCCTAAGTGCAAAGATTTTGGCTGCAGACGTCATTGATCTATCTCTCCTCCCTTGGCGTTGTACGAAATTGAACCCTTTCCTTACTCATATACATAAAAGCGCGTGTCCACCGCCGGTTCACCAATTTCCTGAAACCGGTGTGTAACTGTAGACCTGGAACTCTTCAACTAATATCATGAGCGGGACTCCATTTCGATGACCTTCGCCGTCTTCACTCTAGGTGTACAGTTTAGGCCTGATCATCAGCTACAGAAACACAGCTTACCTCGTGCGCTTGGGCTTTGCAGACTCGGATGGTTCTGGACGGCCGTGCGTCTCGATACCGGGTGCGGAAGGTGATTTAGACCCTGGAGCCTGCCTGATCAAGATGCCAAGAACGTGGCATATGTCAGTCGCAAGCTGCTCCCATTCCTTTTGCTCGTCGTCACCCTGAATGTTTGCTGCCCATTGGAGTACCGTCACGATAAGAACTCGCACACCATCAATACCTGGGGCAAGCATCTCGCGCCAATCCATCTCAAGGCTGGCCGGGATACATATGCGCCCTCGAGCGTCGAGACGCGCCTGGGGCTGCAGTAGAGCCCACTGTCTGGGCAAGGTGACAGCTATATCGTGGTCTAGAGACGTCGGCGTACGAGCCTTCTCTCGCAGGGAACGAGAATGCCACCTCATAGCTGTGCGCTTTGAGACCTGCCGCGGCGGCACCTCAGCCATGTACCGTGGAAGAGCCTCTGTCTGTCCCATCCACTTGCGCATCTCTAACGGTAACTCTCTCTTGAATGCAAGTCAGACTTCTAGATTTCTCGAGGAAAGACGCGATAGATATACTGACCATGCGGCTCCCTTCGAATTTGACATAATCCATGATCAATCGGCGCACAAGTGAGTCATTTAGTCCGGATCCCTCGAGTTTGCTTGTAGCAGATCGTATCCACCTATCCATGCCTAATTCGGTGAACCAAGCCTTCGTCCCCGAGATACTAGCGATTGCTCGAGTTAGGTTGGACGAGAAGTCACTCTGTGGTTACAATGTCAGTGGACGGGCACTGTGGGGGATATAGGGACATAGAAACTAGAAAGCGTTGAAAATACACACGCATGCTTCTTCCTGGCTCTCGGGCTCACGAGTCATCACGCCAAAGGCGAAGACACTCGTCGGCGCAAGCAACACTATCGGTGTTGGCCTCGACGATTCTTCGTTACTGCTCTGTATCAAAGCTTTCAGCAGGGTATGATATTGACAAGAAAAGGCTCGTACTATCAGCGCTGTACCCGGGGTCATTGGTTCCGCATTATGGGCCATCGCGTTGAGAGACTTCCGCCAATCAGCGGTACGCACGTCTTCGGTTCGTGCCGTTGCAATAAACGGCATGGGTTGCCGACGCGTAGAATGATGTTGCTCTAGTGTATAGGTCAGTTATACGTGGCGCGTGAAAACCCAGTATCAACAGACCCTGAGCAATGCTGGGAGTAGGTTCATCGTGGCGCAGGTCCTGCAGTAATAGCATGCCATTGTCCTGAACGAAACTAGCCAATTGGGAATCGCCAATGCGCAACTGATCAGGGCTCTCTTCGCCGATGGTATCAAGAGTGTGTAATGAAGCTGAGTCAAACTGGAAAAGTTGCCGCCGTGGAAGGGTGGATACACGTGATCCTGAGATAGACCAAAGGTCCCATCCGCTCGTGTTACTGAGCGCGCTACCGCTCTTCGTGGTATATTCACTCTCTGTGGGGCCATTCTCTCCAGAACCGCATGCCACCAGGCTGTCATCACGTGTACAGGAACTTGACCTGGCCACGCGTTTACCCCCAGCCTGAGGCCGCGTATGCACCGGTACAAGAGGGGGGGCAACAGCCGCAGCCATCGAGGGCTCAGCGGCGTCGATGGACGATACCTGACATGCGTGAGCGACGCAACTAGTTAGATATTGATAGTCATAGCTCACAACATCATTGCGCCGATCTCCCTGGCTGGTTCCGCCGATAGTACGCCCGTTCGTTGCGCTCATCCCCTCAAAGCCGTATGTCATCATGGTATCTTCATCCACACCGGGTTCTGGCCATG